CCCCTTCGCAGCCCCATAGGGCTCAGCCCATCCTTACCGTGGGGCAGCGCAGGGGAAGGATCCGGCCCCTTATCCGGGCGATCGCAAAGCTAACAGCGCTGGCGTGGGCGTCCTTGAAGGGTCCCCTGTAGGAAACATCTGCCATTGGCCGGGGGTTTAAAGTGTCCCCCTGCTAATCCCGGGGTATTAGCCAGCCAAGCCCATCACGTAGGTACCGCCAGCGCTCCAGGGGGAAGCCCTTTTTGTTCAAGGAAAGTCAGTTCTAGGAAAGTTTGAAAGGCCTGTACCTTGGCCAGCAGGCTAAGCAGTCAACAAATCCCAGCTGGGGCCAGGAGCAGGTTGTGGGTTAATAATTCAAGGGGAGAAGACCGATGAGGCCCGATGCACACACACACCGAGTGACCCGGGGGAGCAAAGGGTCTCATGGGGAGCGACACGTCCTAAAGAGGGGTCCCCCATGCAGAGACTCACCAGGGCAATGCACTGTCCTCCAGCCACCAGCATCACCCCAAAGTGTACCATGCACACAGGAACCCTGCCTGCCCAGGGGAAATGTTTCTGTCTCATTATTGGGGTTTTTACTCTTTCCTCCATCTTCCAAGGACCTCACTAGGGCAACAAATAGAGCTGGAAAACTGAGCTGGAAATAGTGAAAACTGAGACGGAAAACTGCACACCCAGCAAATCGCTGCTTACCCATGCTTGGCGCATCACTATTTGCTCTCCATCACCCCAAAACCTGCCCAGGCACCACGGGCACCGATACCACTCGAAGCCCTGAGCACATTCACCTCTCCAAGGGATGCCCCAATTGCACTTTCACTTGCAATATTTAGCACTGCGGCCCCGGCTTGATTAGTGACCTAAAAGCCAGACCAGAGGCAGTATCTGAGGATTTGCATAACTAACGAGCAGAGGGTGAATTTCAAAGTTCAGCCAGCCGCCGTTTCCAGCCTTCCTGAGCTTTTTATAGAGCCGGGGTGCAATTCACAGGGAAGTTTGCAAATAATTGCGAATAAGGAGGAAGCATGAGGCTCTGACACGCTGCTCATGAAGATTTTATGAGCAGAAAAAGAGGTGACATCGGAGAGAGAAATGAGGCCTGAGAACATCTTCCAGCTTGGTTCCCCTTAACTCCCGATTTCCAGCGACCAGCCCTCTGGCATCGCAATCCCTTCTGCTGCAGGGTTATCTTGACTCAGCCAGGTGAAGCACGCACGTATTTAGCAAGAGGTATATAAAATTATCCCCCTGTAAAACCTGACTCTGCAATGAGTCACTGGGAGATTTCTCATTGATTTTTCTCTGGATCGCATTTGCAGAAGCCCCCAGCACACTCATATTCCCTGTATAACATTTTCTCTTACCACCCCACAGCTCTTTCCCAAAAGCTTTCAAACTGCAGCCAAGAGCTGTTTATACAAGGCAAGACAGAGAGGGAACCTTAATTTACAACCCTCTGAAGTATTATGATTTATAGCATTCGCAATGAAACTGTTGATATTTATAGCAAAAAAGTCCGCGTATTCATCTCCTATTCCCACTGCGGTAAGATGGGTAGTTAATCAATCCAGACCGATTAAAGTCCAGTTTATTGATTTCAATAAAATGATTCATCGAAGAATTTCACCCTTATCTATGTCAAAACCATCTCTGCCTTGCCGTCTTTCAAGCTTAATGGAGAAAGGCTCTTTTTTTTATGTACGCGGCAGCCCTGGAAAACACGGGCTGCATCCCACCATCTCCCAGCACATGGTCCCACTGCAGCCGAATCCTGCAGCCGCTTGGCACCAGCAGCGCTGGGCTTGGACCCAGCAGAGACACAAGGACAGGTCCTTAATCTGCAAGTGCCTTAAAAAGGGACCTCGCTGGTCATCCGACCTGGGGAAGCACCACAAGAAAGGGGCTTTCACCCCAGCACCCATCCCTGCATCGCTGGGGCTGGGCTGGTGCAGCTCCTCCTCTGCATGCAAGGGGAACAAGGCTGATTTATTTCTCCCTTTGTATGTACTTAATCTAAGAGATACAATCTAAGCAACTAATGATATTTTTCCAGAATTCAATCAACTCAATTGTCGTCTAACTCAATCAGAGGCACTTTCAAGCCCCTGTTTTATCTCCGCCCCACTGCTGGGTGTAAAACCGTGCCCTTGTTCCAGAGGAGAGGTGTGCTGATGTCGTTCTCCCCTCACTCATTTTCCCTCCCGCCTCTCTCCTCAGAAGAAACCGAGACATTCGGACCTACAAAACCTGCAGGAGTGACGGGGTCCCAGCTGCCGGGGAGGGCTGCAGGGTCACACCCCCCTTCCACCCCGGGGCAGAGGGAAGCCCTCAGCCCCCGCACGCCTGTGGGTCTCACTGGGTATAGGGGGAGGCATTTTTCCTAAATAGGTATATTCA